CACAGGAGAGCCGGCATGGTTTGCTGATTCCGGGGCGGAAACCTGGCCGGGACGCGGGGCTAAACTGCACGGTGGTTCGTTAGGAGACGAGAGAGGAAGGGGGAAATGAGTATTTAATGCCAGAAGTTAACCAATAACCCAAATTCGATTGGGTGTTAATCAAATGTGGATTGGGTAAATGGGTGCTGTGGGGCGCGGGATTGTCTCCGAGTGTCGGCTAGTAGACAATGCGAGCCACTGGTGCGGTCATAACTTGTCGCTAATAACTCGAGAAAAGGAAAGGGCTTCGGATTATGGCTCCCACATTCATATACCCTTTCCAATATTATTGACTGTGTAAAACATTATAAGTATTTGATAATGAGTTTGACGACGGGAAGGGGGGGGGGGGGGGGGTAGGAACAAACATCCATGTTATTAGGCCTTGGAGCGGTGTAAAGCAATTAGATCCGGTACCGGGTATATTTCGGGTTATGATACCCGTGAGTTATTGCCAAGTGCACGGCGAGAGGTTACCGGTGCGGGCACGGTGGGCGAGTGGGTGGGGAACGCTTCACACACGGCAGGGCTGTATAAAAGACAACACCGGTTCTTCGTTGATATGAAACACGAGAGGGCTTTACGGTTCTTTTTTTTTCTTTTAAACCAAAGTGGTTTGGTCAGTTTCGGTGTTATGTTGTGATATTACTAGCCTAAAGAAATAACGACAGAGACTGAAATATCGTAGCTGACCAAGTCTCGGCAGTGCCTGGACATTACCAGCATGGGAAACTGTGCTTCGAAGGTTCGCTAGTGGAATTCTTCAAAATATTGGCCGCAATTGCTTCAAGGTCGAAAAAAATCTTAGGTCACTTTAAAAAGACGGCAAATCTGGCAAGCTGGAACTCAACCTAAGGACAAATATAAAACTGTAAGCATCATTATGGAGGTCCTACACGAGGACCTACTTCGAGAAACCCACTAAAAAAACAAAATATATCCCAGGAGAAACATTGTTGGGGTTGTCTTCTTTTCCAGAAGAAGGCACTTGTTCCATTAATTAAACGTTTAAATCCGGCTACGAAACAGTTCACTCTTGGACACAACCTTCAAAAAGTGCGCCACATGTTTCGCACCTGCATCAAAATGAACGCTAATTAAATTGACATTCTCATTCTAATTTTTGAACGGGATGTTAATTTGCAGAAAGTGAAAACGAACAATAACAACAGACATCCCGATTGTCCTTGTGCGATCGACTTCAAAATGGATTATGTTGTGTTAGTAAATGTCACGCACCGGCAAAAATCACCGGTGGAAAAGTGAGGTGAGGCCCGAGGCCGTGTTGCATCTGATGACAGAACACGTACATTTGAGCGACCTAGGTTTTTTTAGCGGCATTCAAACATCACATCGCCTGTTTCCGTGATTTTTTTTTCGTTTCTCTATTGATTAGGCCCTATCATTGCTGTGATAGATTTGCTTCGCACCAAAGTACAGCTCATGGTGTGGTCTTTACACAGAGCACTCTAACACACCACTGCAACACTCCTGGGTCAGATTGACTCTGAATCTGAATTAATAATTGCCCGGTCTTTTTCCGGGTCAAAAATGACACTTTCCGGGTCAAAAATGACACTTTTCCGGGTCAAAAAAATGACACTTTTCCTGGTCAAAATGACAATTTACCGGGTCAAAAAATGACGCTTGTCTAGATCATTTTGACCCAGAAAAGTGTCATTTTTGACCCGGAAAAGGAATTGGCAAATATAGATTCAGATTCTGGGTCAATCTGACCCAGGAGTTTTTACCTCCATATTTTTGTGAGCCCCTTGAAGCCCCTCCCATTGCTCATTGAAGAGTGTGGCCCTCCAAGGGGTGTGAGCCCCCCCCCCTATATAGTGTGCCCCTTTCCAAGGGGTGTGAGCCCCCTCCTATATATTGTGTGAGCCCGCCTTCCAAGTGTGTTAGCCCCGCTTAAAGGGTGTGAACCCCCCATGGGTATTGCTCCTATAATTAAGGGGTGTGGCCCTCCAGTGGGTGTGAACCCCTCCTATAAAGTGTGCGAGCCCCCTTCTAAGGCTGTTAGCCCGCTTAATGGGTGTGAGCCCCTCCAAGTCACCCCTCCATAAAGGGGGTTAGCCCCCATGCAAGTGTTATCCTTTCAAAGGCTCTGAACCCACCCTCCACCCCAAGGTTGCAACTTCCCCTATAAGACTTGTGAGACAACAATTTTCTAAAATACCCGCATCTCACGGACGCTATGCAAATAGGTTAACATCATGACACAGATAAAAATGAACTGTATACATTGCTGTATTTCAATTAACACTTCTTTGTTCCCCCTCAAAACATTTTTGTGCGGGGTATCACAATGATTGTTATCTGCACAATGGTAAGAGCACAATGACTCCCCACAATGCAATGATTTATTAGTGGACGCACATTTTTGAATTGAAACGGTGACAATGTACAATTCTGTTCCCCCCTTGACTTAGACAAGTTGCTGGCTAGCTGCGCAATGCAAACTTACTACAAACAGACTCATCAATGAGACATTTTCCATTGTGCACAAGTGCCATGGAGGGGGTATATTTTGGGACGATTCTTTTTATTTTCGTGGGAATGTTCATCCCTTTTTGGTCCCGTTCACGACGTGACTTGCATTATGAGCAGGAGAGCAATGATGAATTCTGTCATGATATCTAGACTTCGCTTTGATCTTTACAGTCATGATAGTTCGGATGTATAGAAGCGGAGTGGCCCATTGTTCGTTTTGTCTAAAGTCTAGACTGGACTAGGGGATCTACGGTGAATGGAAATGTTTCAAATTAGTTTTACACTGTAAAACATGTTGGATAAAACATTGTTGGACAATGTAATTTACCCAGAATTGGTATGAAATTATCTCATATTGGGTTGAATTGGGTAGAAACTGTCAAACTATTGGGAAGAATTTGCCCAAGAGTGTAGGCAGTTGATAATTCGACCAGCGTTGGTCGAATTATCAACCCATTTTGCCCAACTTTTTTACAGTGTAGCCATTACCCGAATGAATAATAAAAAAAAAACTAATACGCGGGTGGATCATTATGCGACACACTGCAGATAACTTTAAGCGAAGGGCGGTGTCTTCTCGACCTCAACTCAAGGTTTCACGCGGTGTGTGTAAAAAGGAATAGCTATTAAAAAAGGTGATCATCAACAGTTCTGAACTTTTCACATTTTAAAGTCGTAACTAATTAGAAGCCCTCGTGTTTATAATCAGTAATCAATGTTCTAAATTCATGACGTGATTTAAGACAAGATAGATCGACGGCGATCCGTCAGACTCGTGATATATAACGAGGACTGGAATATGGTTCGGAATGTGGTCTTGGATTTCTTCTTTTTAGACTTGAATTCAGCATCATCGAAAGAACATATTTTTTTTCTGAATCTTTATCATAAACATGAGGATACAGCATCTCAAACTTATTAAATAATACACGATCATTAAGAGGCCGAATTTGTTTAAAATTATGAGGGGCGTGTCTAAAATTGACCTCAATGAAGGATGCCGGAGGAGAGTGTGATTGGTCTAAAGCAAATCGACAAGAATCACAGAAGAGCGTATTGTACAGAAAAAGTAGGAACATGTATAATCACTGATCTTTGTGGTCTACGCAACTACCAACGATAATCAAACAAATTATGACAAGCTACTGCCTGAATGATCAATTCATAATAAGGGCCAATAAGTGTTTGACGAGTATGAATCAGGACTACAACTGACACGACTACAACTGAATACTTGCCATTCGAGATATCTGATCGTATACAGGGTGAGTAAAACAAAAACGAAATCACAAAGGGATGTGTGTGAATTGTTTTCGTTTTGCTGAAAGAACCACACCTTTTTGTGATCCGTGGACAGAACCTTAAAACGGGGGTTGTGTGTAAAATTCCGTAACTTGAAAAGTACAGGAGTGATTTGAATTATTCTTGTACTAAAAGAAAGCTTATGAACTGGGCTTTCATATCCTAGATTTTGAAAGTGCTACATGTAGAACTTCAATGAAACAATAGTCCCAACATTTTTTTTAACTCACCCTGTATGTATATTACGTCCAAATAATCTGGCTCAGTTAATCAGAACCGCGCAATCGCATCTTCCAAACTTTTCTCCCGAATTCGAAAAGAAGAGCACCCTCCCACACGCGTCGACCATTATTTTCGGGGAGTCGGCTACCCCCGTTTTGTTTCGGTAGTTAGATTAATGAGCACGGTTGCCGGGCAATTCGTAGGCAGTTTCCGATCTAATTTCTGTAAATTATTGGACACCATCTGCTTTCGTCTATGCCTGGACCTTTTCTCGTCTCTGCTTTTTGGGTGTGTTTTTTTAGTCTGTGGGAACCATGGGAAATGCGTATTGGATATCGGACGTGGCTTGTTTGACACGTCCCCGTTTGGTGTGTGCCTGTACACACTTCCGTTTTTATGTACTTGCATATAATTGTTCCCGTTCCCATGTTGCTCTGGCCATCTTTACCTTTGAGGTAGTCGAGAACTTGGTGGGAATCATTGAGATGGTGGACGATGGAGTTGGACTGGTGCTGCAAGTGAAGATTGATGGTGGTTAATGATTAATGCACACGCAAGGCTTCGGCTGTGTATTTTCGACACCATTCGCACCACTCGCCGTCAGGCTGGTTGCTGCTTCCAGCCAATCACAGTCCAGACCGACTCACTTACAAATTGACTGAATTATTAATACCTCACAAGAGGAAAAAAAAGACCCGGCTTGGACACCGTGCCCTGTAAAATATACATCACTGTCTGGTCCGGGATTGGATAGAAAAGAGGGGAAAAATGCAAATTTCTCCTGAAACTTTTTTATCCGTGGACGGTGCGAGTCGGCTTGGTGGATGCGGCGCTCACAGCGCCGACGCGGATTGGATGAGTTGCCCACAATGAAGTGTCAGCGCGACCCGGTGACTGGCTGTATACGCGCCCGAGCTATATACGGCGCGCATCCCTCCGTGCACATGCGCAACAAGTAGGCGCTCGTTTTTTTCAATAAAACCAGTCATCACCGGGTAAAACGCTGCAAAACTGGTCTTTGTTGACTCCACGGAATCACAGCTGTTTCTCGCTAATTTTTTCTCACCGGTCTCACTCACTCTCTCATTTTTTTTGTTGTCGTGGAAGCGAAACATATCCATCTCTGTATAGATAAGATTTTTTTTGGCGTTTCCTATTTTTTCTCTCCACCGTTCGTACAGTATAGGCGCGGGGTGCTGGCCTTGCATTAGACATTCGGTGGTGAGTGGTAACAGCTAGGCCCCCCTTTAGTTGCGGCCAGGGCTCTAGTGGGGTACATCCATGATTGAGTCCGGACCAGGACTGAGTGTCGTCGTCGTCGCTGCCGCTGCTGCTGCCACCACCGCGCTCAGGGGGATGTTCCCCGCAGTGGATCTGCCCCATGCTTCCCCGATGCTGGGGCGGGCCGGCTCGGTCACCACCAAGTCCTCGGACATCGAGACCAGCGTGTGGACCTCGACCGAGATACCGGCCGATGTCAGCTTCGGCCCGTTCGACGGGGAGTTTCGCCTCGGCGCCGCCATGAAGGACAGCCGGGACAGCCCGTACATGTTGGAGGTGAGTCATGAGGAACGGAACGAAATCAATAAACACATTCATTTACTACCATGCAACAAATCAGGGTAGTTTTGTCTGAGGTTGGCATGCTTGTTTGTGACACCGCTGCTCCAGTTTACGCTAACCTTTCAGTATTTTATTAGTTACAATGTTAACCAACTTTTGTTTTAAATAACGTGCAATAACACGACAGCAAGACTTTCCGCATGCGATTCTTTGAATTAGGTCAGGATTCAATCTCTCCTTAAATTCCACTGGGAAAAGCAAAACTCAATACGAAAGAGAATGATGCAAATTTTGATATCGTTATCTTTTATCTTAAATCGTCATTATTTCAAGGAAGACATGATGCTAATATGATGAGGAATTACAGGAAATTCGCCTCCTTGTTACAACGTTGACGACGTATTGATAGGCCCTACATCTAAATAAATTGTCTCCAGTTATAAACTGCTGAGCACTTTATTTATTTATATGTTTTTTTTGTTAAATGGTTTTGAGTTTATTTTATAGAAAAATGTCCAATGAGTATACTGAGGCGGGTGGCTGCCAACGCTCGAGTGTAACGTGCGCCCTCAACGATCAAATGTATCAAATTAATTTGAATTGACGTTCTGCGGGCGCATAATTTTAAATGTCACAGTCTTCAAGTATTCCAAGTGCCAATATTCGAAGTGGTTGAGATTTCTTCGATATTGGTACTTTACATCGGCTTCCAGAGGGGGCAAAAACGGATGAAGACTTTAGACATTTTCTTGTGTGAAGTTTGCGCAATGCTTTGTTCTCCAACCCCAGATCTTCTCATGTTTTGTTTTCTCACGATTTTATTTTCGGAAACTCCACATTTTCTTGAGCCTTGTTTGCATAAAACCAGTGCAATCTTAGTTACGTTCCTCAGGGGTGTAGCATCGATGTTTTCATTTCATTTCATGAAATGAGTTATTTAGTTCACAAATTGCGTTTGGTTTCAAGATTGCAGTGATATAACAGACAAAGCAGAAACAGTGAAAATACAAGCAACCTAGAAATAAACAGAAACAAATCAATACACCCACACCAGTCAAGATTCAACTACTCACTGTATGAAGCATTAGACACGTCCAGAAATCTATCCGTTCAAGTGAAGAGGTCAGTTTAAAGTGAATAATAAAACACTTCTATGGAGATCAGTCATTGCATTATACAAAGCACTTTTCTGTCCACGAGGCCGGCCATACAAAGGCACTCTCAATCACGTACGTGCACTGCAACATGGTTATGTGAATTACATAATTATACAACCCACTTGACCACCAGGCGTTCCATTATCATCTAGTGTTTACCTCCCTCCTTCGCTCAACAACCCCGCCCACTCAATTTTTCCTTCTTTTTACGGGATTGCTCATTGTTGTTCTGCAGGTACCCCTCGAAGCATTGAGTGGAGTAAACGAGTTTACAAAAAAAAACATTTATCGCTGTTTAATTAGCTTTGTATTTCACCACCTATTTCTGATAACCTTGCCCGTATATTTATTTGTTTAACCTTGACAGAAAATCCAACGAGCAAATCGCATTGATTCTATATAATACAAAAAGTTTGTTAACAACGGCTGTTCGTTCGAAAAATTAAGAAAGTTAAAAAAAAAAAAAAATGAAACAAATTGCACTCACTTAGGCCTACATACGCTCAAATCACATCGTGCACCGATGAAACTTGTTTCAAAGTTTTTGTGTTGGGGTTTAACGACATGAAACGGCCGTCTAATGTTCGTCTTTAATGGGGTCACCAAACTGTTACAAATTGGGTGAACATTTCTGCTGGCGATCAGAATGGTCTTTTTGTTCAATTTCATTTGATTACTTGGCTGCAGCCCCTTCCGCCAACTCTCTTAACCACGCTCATTACAAACACCCTAGCCTTGACCAATGCTGTCAAGCCAAGCTTTTTCCCTGAACTGTCCGTCAGCCGTTGCTGTCAAGCCAAGCTTTCAGTTTCAGTTCCCTGAACTGTCCGGCAGCCGTTTTACCCTACTTGTCACGGCAACGTACGCCGCTCGCAGCCCCCGGCCCCTGGCTAGCTAGCTCCGCTTGCGAATTGCCTGTACTAGTACTGCGCGCGCGATATGCTCCTAACACAAATCCGCACACGGACGTACGTACACGTACATGTACAGAACATGTACATGTACATGTACATGTACATGTACATGTACATGTACATGTACATGTACAGTATACAGTAACCATGCCGTGGGAGTCACACGGAAGACAGCCTTGACGCAACCGTTTCTGCTCATTATGATAATAAGTATGCGCTATGGTAAATAGTCTTCTCTCATTGGATAATGGCTGACGATAAAATAAATATTCATCACTACTGCGTGAAGTCGAAGGGTCAATAAACTTTGTGCGTGTGGTTTGTGTTGTTTGCGCAGTAAAAGCTAGCTCAGTAGCTGTCAAACTTGTACTGTACATTTAGTTGTGGGTGTATCCTTGGTTAAAGCAGTGGCCTTGATTCCTTTGCGACTTAGGGAGTCCAACTGATCTTTCATTAAGGCGGTGAGGGGTGAAATTACGAGGGCTATGCAAAAACTACTCTCGTCCACGTTCGCTCCTCCTTGTCGTGCTTGTTGCAGGCCGAGCTGCCAAAGAAATTCACAGCAGTACGGCGCTGCTTGAAAAATCGCTGATTTACCGAACCCGGTCGGCAAATTGACGAAGACATCGTGTCCTTGAAGAAAGTATTGAAGTGCAGTCCGTTGTTCAGGACGAAAATCGTCAATTTGTAGCTTATCGGCCGCAGAATTGAGACATCCATTTAGGCTTACTTCTGAAACCTCCATTTTGTTCGGTTACTGCAGCACGACAATGTGTACACACGTACACATGTACATGTACATTATGTACAGTATGTACATGTATAATACAACGCATCACACACACATCGTTCGTTCAACACGCGCACGCACAAGACGAAGCGAAGTAACATGAATATGCATGTTTGGGTCAAAGTGCACGGGCTGTGATTGGCTATCGTGTAAAATATGTGCATCAGAAATTTTCGGCCGATATTGGCCGAAAACGTAAAGAAACACATAAGAAATTGGCGACGGTTGCGTCAAGGCTGTCTTTCGCCTCGACTGCGACTGCGTATTGGTTACTGCATGGGGTGCACGTAGTACGTACGTACGTAGGTACTGTATACGTACCGGCAAAGCGCGCGGCGTACGTGTGCCGTGACAAGTACAGTACAGGCAAGCGGAGCTAGCCAGGGGGCTGCTAGCGGCGTACGTTGCCGTGACAAGTAGGGTAAAACGGCTGCCGGACAGTTCAGGGAAAAAGCTTGGCTTGACAGCATTGGTCAAGGCTACAAACACCCAGGACTACCGACACAATCCTAGGTATACTTTCCTATGCTCGCACTACACATTTTCTTGTTAACAAAATCATTAGTATGACTGTCAGTGAGCACGTCAACACCTAAACTTCCCCGCCCCAGGCCACACTATTGATACTCGGCCTTGTCCTTAACAACAATCGTGAACCCATCGCGTATAAACTTATAATTATGATTAGTAACAATAAGACTCGCAGATTGCGAGTGTACACAAAAGAAAAACACGCTGTGTATAATGGACAGCGATCTCTTTTGAAAATGTTGGGAAGGGGCCAATATGGTTGGAAGTTTGCGATCCTGGGAAATGTGAAAGCCGGAGGGGGTGGGGGTGGTGGCTTCACGAAAACACTAAAACAAATGGTGAAGGCCCATAAGACACAAGTGTGAGACATAATGGGGCTCGTTTTCTCAACAATGGAACAAAGCAGCGTCAACTGGGTTAATGGGGAGGGGTGGGACTGTGGAGTTGAGTTTGGAAACTCAATGTTGCGGGTAGGGGATCAAGAAGACACAAAAGACGAAGTTTATACGCGATGGGTTCACGATTGTTGTTAAGGCCAAGGCCTAGCCCAGCTGGACTCCCTTTCCTCCCTATACGTTCGTAATGCAATGAAGACTTCGTCCAACCTGGGCTAGCCCTTATAATTATAGGAGCTTTGGTGGAACAAAAGTTAACTTTCAAAACCATAACTATCGTCCTCGATGTTATAAATCGTTTCACCAATGAAAACTTAGTCAACATCCCACCCATTATCACAATCGCTGTCCGCACCGTACAGGGTGAGTAAAAAAAACACGAAACCCAAATGTTGGGACCATTGTTTTAGTGAAATTCTGCATGTAGCGCTTTCAAAATCTAGGATATGAAAGCCCAATTCATAAGGTTTCTTTTAGTACAAAAGTCATTCAAATCACTCATGTACTTTTTAAATTACAGAATGTTAAACCCAACCACCGTTTGAAGGTTCTGTCCACGGATCACAAAAAGTTCAGTGTTCTTTCAGCAAAACGAAACCAAATTACATAGGATGTGGGTGAATTATTTTCGTTTTGCCGAAAGAACGCACACCGTTTTTGTGATCCGTGGACAGAACTTTAAAACGGTGGTTGTGTTTAAAATTCCGTAACTTAAAAAGTACATGTGTGATTTGAATGATTCTTGTACTAAAAAAAGCTTATAAATTGGGCTTTCATATCCTAGATTTTGAAAGTGCTACATGCAGAACTTAAATAAAACAATAGTCCCGACATTTGGGTTTCGTTTTTTTTTGACTCACCCTGTATTGTCATTTTTGGGGGGAGTTTGGTTGGCGTAGACAGGGTGGCGTAGCGGTACTTTCCTGGCCTTCCACCGCTGTGACCCAGGTTCGAATTCCGCCTCAGCCAACATGCGGATCGGCTCTTCAGTCCCTACCTGAGTCCGTGGGTTTTCCCTGTAATATTCTTCCGGGGTTTTCCTCCCACCTCTAAAACTGTACTTTCTTCTCATTGTTTCCTCTCTGCAGGTTTCTTCAGGCTTGCGAGCTACAGTACCTAGGGTGCTTTTGAGGAATCCTTGGTTTCATCACCAGCAATAAATAATAATAATAATGATAATAATAATAATTCTTGTCATCAACTTTAAGCAGTCGTTAACACTGTCGTTGTCGCGGCATTTCGTTATTGTCAATTTGAGAAATTGAGAACACAAATTGTCCAAGGATAACCGTCCAACATGTCAACACTATACGTGTCATGCTTCGGTGATAAGCCTCGTTCTGTGTACCATTATTGTCCTGGAGATAATACAACAAATTCATCGTTTACACTATTTGCCCAAACATGGTGCGGGTAGTCACTATTGAACGTTGCCGCTTTGTGTATTTTATGATTCATTGTACAATATTTTTTTTTTCAAAAGGACACACTCCCTGCCAGTAGTATTATAGGGCATCGTTAAAGCTTTGGGGTCGGAGTGTTGGGCCCCCCCCCCCCCCCCGAAAAAAAAAAAAAAAAAAAAAAAAAAAAAAAAAAAATACAATTTAAAAAAATATGGAAAGAAAATCGAAAATGATGACGTAAGCTTCAATTTGATGTGTGTCTCAAACACCTTTGAGAGTTGTGAACATTTTTGATACATTTTGGGAAGTGCGTGTAATTATCACTGAGAAGTCTACGGTAGTCTATTTACTGGTCTGCAACCCAAACTGGCTTATTTTGCGACCAACCCGAATGTCAACTGAGGGCGCTTTAGGGCCTGCGGGCCAGATGCCTGGATGTGAGGGAAGGATCGCCATACCTTTCGCTTATCTTTGTTGCATGAGCTAACTTTCCTCAAGGATTCCAATCCGCAAGAACCTGTGTTTCTTTGCTTTGTCGGTCCACTCCGGTCTCCCGAGGGACCGATTAGTCCTTATTACGACCCAAACCTCAGGTAGATCTGAGCCAATTAAACCCGGTAATGACTTCCCTGGGAGTTCACATCTCACAAGTGCATTGATCCCGTCACTCTGTCTTTCGATTCTCTTTTATATTAGACTCCCTTCGGATCAAGAGTCATTCCATTATGAAATCACTGCTCCAATGAAGCAATCAATTACCATGCACTGGGCTGAGACCCGCAACCGCTGAAGCGAAAGACTACGGGTTTCTCCATGGTGTGAAGCTCATAGATACATTATTGGTAGATTATTGGGAAAAAAAGTTCTTTATCAAAACACCAAAGGCATTGTTCGGGGAATAATGTGTCTATGTGTTGTAGGAGATACCGACGAAAAAGTATCTTGTTCATTTGGCACTTTGTATATCTTTAGGTTGGTATCTTGACAAGCATTCTACAAGTTCTAGCGTCAAGAGGCCTTCTACTTAACAAGTTTCTTTCTACTGAATTCTGAAGGCACTCTCCATAGGCACCAAACAACTAAAACCAGCAACCATGCAAGGAGCCACAGAGAAGCTAACGAGATTGGAAACTCCACATGGCTGAAAGGATACATCTAGGGGAAGATTTAGAGACAAACCAATGGGAATACTATTTAGACTGTTTCAAGAATTCCTTCAAGGGATGAGAAAACATTTCATCGTATTTTATTCGAAAACAGAGATCAATTTAATGATGTATGTTCTCAGACATCCAGTAGTGTAAGCTGAAATATGAAATTAATCTTATTCTGGAACTTACGTTTGTGCAACTTATTCTTTTGAGACAGAAAAATACTTTCCCCAGTCTGGTTTCTCCACTACGAGATCTTTTTTCTTTGATTTGTCTCCGCAAGTTGTCTTGACTGACATTCGAGCTTCCCCAGTATAAAACACTTTTTATGTGACTGAATTGTAAAATGTGCCTTTCTATTTCCAAACTCACCAAACAGAATCACCTCTTTCATAATGCTGTCTACCAGAGCTTAGCATCATGACAATTGGCTACATCAACACTCCAAAGAAAAAGAAAATCATTATAAAGTGTGCCATATAAAAATGTATAACGACCGACTTTGCATGAAACGGGATCCCACTATAACACAAACTGCATTTCTCTCTCCGAACTTTAATCGGATTTGGGGATTAAGACCCAGTTTTGTATTCCTTTTTCTTGTCCTGGCTGCTTAGCTGGCAGTCCTTCCCCGGGTTAAATACTACCACCCTCTTGCGGTCTGTTCCTCTCTAAGGGCCCAACAACCAGTCTTCTTCTTTTTTCGGTCATTTATCTCTTCAGACGCTCTTAAATGACTCTGCGTGTATGGGACTTATACCACCTTTTGCTGAACGTCTTTGTGAGGACAGCGCATGCCAGTGCCCCCTTTTTTTTTTTTTTTTTTTTTTTTTTACAGATCAGGGGTAGCTATATTAACAGAATGATACAGTCGAAAGTTGACCCAATAAAGAAAAGTTCCTTAAGAACCTTTCTTAAGAACATAATTTAATCGGAGTTGAAGCACAGTTACAAGCTTCTGTAAGTCTAGCGTGATTTCGGTAAGCACAAACGTACAGGTTCCTCCATAGTTCTCAAATATTTTTTCCTCTATATTGAAACAATGTATCAGAAAGGTCACCGTTATAAGGAAATCTTTGAGCAATTTAATTCCTCGTTCAGTTCAGTGGTCGATTATCTAAGCTGTGTGAGGTTTCAAGTTTAGCAAAGATGGAAGCCCCCCATAATGAGCTTAATTAATCGAATTATATGAATATGTATGATATAACAGCCTATCAATTCCCTTTTCATCTTGACCCAGGTCAAATACTCCGAGGGTCGGCTAGTCAGCGGCCCTGATTCCCATCCCACCCGCTGGATGCGGTTCGTCGCTGCGGCGCACGACGAGCACGAGCAGAACCTCTCCGCTGTTCGTTCCCCGGAGGGGCGAGTGATGTTCCGCACCACCCGCAGTATCCTACGCGGGGAGGAACTTCTGGTCTGGTACACCAGCGCTTTTGCCGAGTACCTGGGAATGCCAACGACAGTCAACCAATACAGAGGTAAGAAACACTGCATAGTCTTGGTCAACCTGTAAAAATGTTGATTTGAGAAGCAATGACAACTTCACAGTGAAACTCGTCATTCACCAAAAGAGGGCGCTGTAGCTGTCGGCCATTTTGTTTTAGCTTTCAAACCCTGGTGTCAGATGTCAGTAATTTCGCGAGGATAACATTGTTGGAACCATTTTGGTTTAATTGATTTCAATACTGCACTCCATACCGCTGGTGCGATTTTGGCGGGAGTTTGAAACTGTTGCAAATAATTTGGGAGATTGAAACTAACGTTTCGCGTTGGCTCTGAAGGTCAATCCACGGGCGCGAATCCATTGGTAGCCAAACTCAACTGCATGTGTATTTGTTGTATCAACTTTGTGACTAGCCACTTGTAGTTCCGGAGAGAAAATATTAATCACACATTATTTGTTATAAAATGCGATTCATTGACATGTTTACCGGCTGGGTATCTTTGCCATCTGGCTGGTCCAAAGGTTCTCACATTGGGCATGGGAAACTATCGATTTCCGGTCAATAATTATGATGACTGTCGTGATTAATGCCCTCCACCTCCCTTCATGTGAGCCTCATTACAAGAACGTCTACTTGTGTTCTTCTGAGATGAGTAAACAATTCGACAACAAACAGATGTGACAGCTAACATGCGCGCTGCGCGCGCTGACTGACGTAGTCATGCGCACCTTATCGGTTGCCGGGAGTTTCTGTTTTCGCGCCATTTGTGTCACTCTATCATGGCAGTGACACCAGTAACACCATCCGTTGATGATTCTGGCTGACAAGGCTCTAACTAAATTAACGGTATTTGCCGTGCTGGGCAAACACGCAGCCGTGAGAATGTGTGTTCAAATACGGGCCAGCTGGGGATATTTTTTTCTTGTCTTTTCGAAACTGATAATTTACTTTGCCGTGTGTAAACTGTTGCGACATGCGTTCGATACTGGAGTGTGCATATTATTTTAATGTACCTTTTCTTGTTCGCAAAGATAATTATTGTGCACTTTTCGTATGACATTTTGGGCGGCGTCTGTTTGATGAGGCGACTGATACAATTTTTTGTTCAAGGGTCCTTGTCATGAACTTCGCAAAGTTTTCTTTTGTAGAGAAACTTGATTTTTACTTTATGTTGACACCTCACGAAAGGTAAAAAACCTTTAACGTTTTCCCTGGTAACTTCACATCTTTGTTATAATTTCCTTTTCCAATTATTGTTATCTATTTCCCATCTGCACGAGAGGCAGATGGACGTAACGCGTTTCATTTTGTTTTTGCATGCAGCTAGAGGGTTTTAACTAAGTCCAATGTGTATAGAACTATAGATCCGATTTGGTTGTAAATTGGTACGTTCCTAGACGAGGATGTGTTATTAGGTGAAAACTGAAGCTGCGTCATTATGACGTCACCACAAGTCTTGTGACGTCACATTAAAGTTGCATTTTCTACAGAACTATACGTCCCAAGTTGGTTGTAACTTGGTAGGTACCTAGACCGGTATAAGTTGTAGATTTAGTTTTAAGTGACGTCATCACCTGGCACAGAGTCATTTCAAGCAGCCAAAACAGAATGTGTTAACTTTGTCAACGTGACAAACACATTTCTAGTTTGCAATTTACAATTCATTAGGGAGGGAGGGGGGTTGAGGAACTTGAGGTCGCCATTCTTTGTGTAATAAGTTTCCATTTTCCGATACATTTGGTGAGGTTTATTTGTGAATGGTGCATTTTGCCATTTGCGACGTCAGTGGAGTGAAACGTCTGCAAAACTGACGGCTGGGTTTGAATGGCAGAGTCTATTCTTAGGGATAGTTATTGTTCTGGCTTGACAAGGCGAAAATAAACATTATCTTAAAACCAAACAATCAATCAATCAAAAATTGGTTTAAAAAAAAACACCTGTAAGTTATGATACCATTATTAGGTAAAAAGCTCGGGGAAATCATTTCGCAATTAGCCGGGTAATCATGTTTATTCTGACAGCCACTAAATAGCTCGTTAGGGTGGCCTAGATGACCGGTCCATTTCATGGCTTGAATGGTGCCATCATCTTGCGTTTGCCGCGCCAATTTCAACCGACAGAATTCGGACCAATTACTCCAAGATGTATTATTCCAGCTGGAGATGGTCCAAGAGTCTTGCCACGTACCCGTTCTTCAGCGGTTGTGACCATTAGTGAGAGTGCGGTTATTTTTTTTTGTATAGACAAACTCCTTGTCAACCGTCTAACATCTCATTTTGCTCGGCCGACTGGTTGGACCAGCCCGCCCGTTTTGTCGTCTCGAGTGCGAAATAAGGACCCTTTTTGCTGACTTCTCGCCCGGCTATTCTCCAGGGGAGCTGTTAACATTTTTCTTTTAACTCTCGGAGTTCTCTTCTCTTACCATTTTTTCCTTCTAACTTTTTAATAACTGGCCGAGTTCCACACGTTCCAAGCTCCCTTGTCAAAGAGCCAGGTGGCATTGTCCAACCTTCCACTCAGCCACAATGGAGAAGAGGTCATTCAAGGAAGGAGAGATCAATGAAGTTTCTTTGGGACCCAACCACCACAGAATTACAGTATTAGTGCGGATTTAGACGGCTTGCTTGTAAGAAGACTATAAGAGAGTCAGGCGAGAGAGGAAAAAAATCCACCCAGTGCCTGGAGCGATATTAGCCCTATACTGTCACGGTGTAACACGGAGGGAAAAAAAACTCAGTTCAATTAGCCATTGCTTGAATTGCGCGCGTTAGGATCGCAAGGCGGCCTAATCGGATTTTCGACCATTCTTCGAAGTATAAACTGAAGCCACAAGAAAAGGGAAAAATGCGTCGTGTTTAGCCATCTGAAGTTTGAGTATCTGTGAGTGAGGACCCTGAACATTGTCCGGGAGTTTTTCTTTTTCTTCTTGGAGAAGCATTTGCTCTCGAGGTGCTTGCCCCGTGGTTCGGCGCGGAGCGTCGGTAGCAAGTTCCCAGCTTGCACTGGTAGAAACTAGTCCACGCAACGCAGACGATGCTGTGTTGTACTTTTGGCGGGAGTGTCACAAAACTCATTACTGTGTCCACTCCAGGTGTACTCTAGCGGCAAATCGGAACAAGTTGTCTTCACGTCTTCACGGTAGGCTGCTTTGAACGTTTCGAATTCACACTAAATTTGACCATCAACAGTGGTGGTTGATTGTGTTTTATAGCTCCATGATTGTAGCAAGGGATTTAATGTTTCTGTCTTGAATGTTTGGGTGGTGTATTCGATGAGCAACAGACCGCAATTATCTCATTTTATTCAAGAATGCAAGGATTTCATCATTATTATAAGAGTTCTTGAAGTGAATGTAAACAATAAGAAAAAAGTAGTAATACTACAGGTGTTGTTTCAGATTGAAAGTTGTTTGCACTCCCGGTAGTCTAGAAATCTCGATATATAGATGACTCCGAATATACTTCATTCACTCGTGTATTCGATGGACAACAAGTTGCAGATCTTTCATTTTATTCAAGAATGCAAAGATTTCATCATTATTAGTGAATGTAAACAATTCAAAGAAAAAAGTATGAGCACTACAAGTGTAACCAAAATTATGAAGTCCAGAATTTCCCATATATGACTCCGAATATATGCTTCATTTACTCATAATGCAGCACCTTTTTTTTGGTCTCGTCCACCAAAATTTATTGGGGCTCAAGATGACGAATAAAAAGACAAAGTAATTAATTGCTGTTTTTTTCCCCAAGATAAAGAGGCATGTGACTTTCGTAAGCCAAGCCTATAACCAAAACCTACGTAATGATGGAATCCGTATCAACTGAATTTTTGATCTGCTGCCAATTTTAGCATGTCAGTTTTCACATCGTATAAATTAATTTCCGCGCGCGAATTTTGATAAGAAAAGTGCGATAAAAAGCGATAAGTGGGGAAAGGTGTCAGGTGTCTGCCATCAATCGTCGCCCTCCTCTTTGTTTCGTGGCTTGATAACGAAATGTCAACAAAACTCGTCGCTTGGGATTATCCATCATGTTTTCATAATTTATCACCAATTCCATCTCTGAAAGACGTGTTCAGATGAGGCAATCTTCCCCTTGATTTCTCTCTTTTTCTCCCTCCCGTCAATTGGAATAATTTTCCAAAAGATTTCACAATGCATTACTATTTTTAATTGCAATTCTGGGAGAGCGACATTTTCTTTTGAATTGTGACAATCAACAATAATTGAGCGAACACAAACACTTTATATTTTATAATGTAGTGCTTATATAGCGCTTTATATCTGAGGTGTCAAATCGCTTTACAATTATTATCCCTGTTCATCGGTAATTATGAGACCATTTTTCTGCAGCAACTCGAGATCAGTGCAATTTGGTCTACCGTCACATGTACCCATTTGTACTCCTGGGTGAATTAGAGGGGCAAATGTAGTAAAGTGCCTTACCCAAGAACACAAGCACTATGTTTCCCACGTACCACGGCACCCGAGTCGAACACCGTAACCATTGAACCACAGCGCCCCACGATAAATACGTTCAATCGGATTTCACTTAAACAGTTTATAGAGACATCAATAATTTTTCATTCTTTAATGGAACGCCAGTAGTTTTCCTCCCTCTTAAACTGAGTATAAATTTGTTGGATATTTCGCATCGTCACTTCTTTCGAAACATCGCACATTTTGGCAATGCACTCAAAGCAGATTTTACGTTCGATTTGTATTTGTGCATAAAACGGTGCTTGAGGCCATTTTAAAAAGTAACAGTACGTCTACTTATGGCCCGGAGTACTACAGGAATGAAACTGTATTAAAAGTAGACGACCATATCTTTAAAACCGAGCACGACACTTAACTCGTTTCTGACTGGATATTATGGTGGTTAAATCATGGTTAAAAGCAACTGCTCAGAATTAAGGCACTTCAGGCTTCCACGTGCACACCAAAAAGGTCTCGCGTATCTGACACTAATTCGCAGTGACATGAAATCATTTTTACGCCCAATAAATGACGAGTTTTTTTTCAAGTTCGTTCCAGTTGCGCTGTTGGCGAAGGCTTAAAAAATGC